GACTTTAACTTTTACCAAAGTATTTTTATGATAAGATTCTTGTACTTTTACTGAAGTATCACTTTGAGGTACTTTATACAAGACTGATAATTTAACACGACACATTTTTAAATGTTAAAGCCATTTTTAACTAACTTTTCTCGTGGACCCTGAATGCAGCACCACTTGCACCAATGGTAGCCCGTAAGCGTGGTTTATTTCCCATCTACTTCCGGTAAAGAAGGTGAGTTTGAGGCGCTGCCATGTGTTTAATAACTGATCTAACGTGGTTTGTGTGAAAACAGGAGGAGGCTGACGTTTCAGGCGGAAGTCGGGAAGGTTTTTCCCGCTCTGGTGTTTGTTTAAGCTAGATGCTAACATGTTGTTTAGATGCTAACATGTTGTTTAGATGCTAACATGTTGTTTAGATGCTAACATGTTAGCTCAGTCAGTCTGAGCCACTGGTTCAGTTTGAGTGACCCAGTGAACACCCCCTGTGCTCCGTGGTCCACTAAGACCGGTTCTGCTGTCATAATCTCAGGATCAGGATGGGAACCACCAGCCTGGACCGGATCAAGGTTCTGCAGAGGAACCCGGCTAACATCAGGAACATCTGCATCCTGGCTCATGTTGACCACGGTAAGCAGCAACACGTGGGTTCAGTTTCCGGTCTGATGAATACCACCTGAGCACCTGGGTCATGTGCAGGGTCTGAATAAAACCAGTCCTCCCCAGACCCTGGAGCTCCACAGGTACACCAGCTTTCTTCATGAAGCTCTTTAAAGCCACAGGTCAGGACAAAGAGCTGCACACATAAACATAAACATCATACAATCAGTAAAGTCTGAATAAAAACAAGTCAGAAACACAACCAGTGTTCAGGGTCTGCAGCAGGACTAGAAACTGCTCCAGGACCAAACATCCAGCAGTTATTCTGTAAATAAACATTACAAAGACATGTTGGCTCTGAAACTGTTAGTTTAGTGTTTAATGATGAAAACAACAAACAACCCTGTGGAATAAATGCAGTGATAATTAATATAAAAAAAGAACACATTCTGCCTCCTGTTTGACACAAATATTACTCTGACATCTCTGACTTGTCAAATTTTAAASCAGTTTTAGTTTGAACAGTTTGTAGTTTTAMCTGTCCTGAGTTCATAGACATGTTTTACCAGTTTGTAGCCAAGGTTCTGRTGTTTGTGTAGACACCWAACATGTCTACGTTTGACTAAAAACACATATTAATGAAGGCTGTTTGGGTTTAAGAGGTTAGTGGATCAGTAGTCCTGGTCTACAGAGAACAGATGAGCTTTAAGGAGAAGGTCCACACCTGTCTGCTGTCCTCCCATGGTTCAGGAGCTGCTTCAAGCTGCCTCCATGTTTTCAGGTAAAACCACGCTGGCTGACTGCCTGGTGGCGAGTAACGGGATCATATCCAGTCGGCTGGCTGGGAAGGTGAGGGACTGGGTTTGGATCTGGTTCTGTATGTTCAGTGGTCCAACTGAAGTTCTGCTCAGTTCTGTGTCCTGTTGATGTTCCAGCTGAGGTATCTGGACAGCAGGGAAGACGAGCAGGTCCGAGGAATCACCATGAAGTCCAGCGCCATTTCTCTGCACTACAGCAGCGGTACTGGTCCGGTTCTGTGTCACCTGAAGGTCTCCTCACCTGCAGAGGAACCTGAGTCTGATGTCTCTGTTCTCTTGGTGCTCCTCAGGAGACCAGGAGTACCTCATCAATCTGATCGACTCTCCGGGTCACGTGGACTTCTCCTCAGAGGTTTCCACGGCGGTGCGTCTGTGTGACGGAGCTGTTGTTGTTGTTGATGCTGTGGAAGGAGTGTGTCCTCAGGTAAACACCACCTGATCTCTGCTCGCCTTCTGATTGGACAGAAACTTTACCTGAAACAGTCTGACCCAAACGTCTGCTTCACCTGTGCTCAGTTCACTGACGGCTGATCAGACACATTTATTCTGATCAAAGGATTCTTGGTTTCTGCAGCAAGAGGGCGGGGGGTCAGAGGTCAGGGTTCAGAGGTCAGGGTCAGAGGTCAAGGGTTTAGGATCAGAGGTCAGGGT